ACACTCGAATGTTTACACAAAGGAAAGTTTCGAGGGTTGGAGGTCGGCTAAATCCCAAAATTAATGAAAAGAATCGTCTCTGCTGAGGAAAAAAATATATTAAGGTCAATTATTATGTAATATAATTTTGATACCTGGTATATTTTTCTGAATACGAAACCTGTATGATGCATTTCTTATGATATGCAGGTTCAAAAAGTATCAATATATTGCGTGTCTAACGTATGCTTGTGGAAGAGAATTGATTTTTATATTTGAAATGTACGTTACGTATGGTAACGTACATTTTATGTATTTCTAACTGACATTTTTTTTTAAATTTAGTCAATGAATTACGTTTACACGAGCGAAACAAAATTATCGTTACAATCCATTTGACAACTGGCCACATAAATCCATCTTAATGCACCCCCAATCCTCGTAAATGTTTTAAACTGTTACCACATGCTAGAAAATATATTTCTAAGTGTCTTAAATTCATCTTTGGCAACCTTTTTGCAGTTTGTTTACTTTTCATATGCGAATTTTCGTCAATATTAATTGATTTGTTGTTGATAATTTAAAACAAGGTATGCATAGGCTTATAATTGATAAAAAAAAAAAAGAAAAACAAACAAAACAAATAAACCCAGAACACAAGACGGTCACGTACATTTCAAATACTGAGTACTCAGTTTTGTTTGAATCATTGCATTTTGGGTTATATTTTTCCAGATCTGCTGAAAAGCACGTATGTTTGTGTTTTGAAAAACGATGTTGCAACATACTAAATGAAATTGTTAACAAGACTGTCGATGGATATATTCGGAATAGATTTATGTTAAGTTTCAATGACCAAAAATACGAACATTTGTTAGATCATAGCAAAATACATCTGACTCTTATATTTTTTTGTCTGTAACCTTGCACACAGTTAGAAGTAACTAGGCTACGACCGGTGTCAATTTCAGCGAAACAGCACAAAAGAATGGTAATGAACTGAGGTGGAGGGGACTCCCCAATATAATGTGAAATGAACGTTACCGAAGTGACGTGACAGTCATGTAGTTGATGACAATAACCTCGTTTGTTACATTATGATTTCTTATATAACTGCCTTAAAACGCTTCATTGATATGATTTTTATGTCAATAATTGCTTTTTTTTCAATATTTTCTTATTACTAATTTACATATTATTACAAGCTTGAAATGTACGTTACCTACTTATATTCTGAGGCAATCGTGTCTTTATAGTTGTGAATGTGACATATAACACAATGTGATTACAAAGAGAATCTTTTTTGGAATAAACTGAAACAAAACGATGAATTTTTAAATGAATTTTAGATGAATTTTAAGCTTTTTATTAAACAGAAATATATCTTGAAATGTACGTTACATTTACATAGTTTTCTAAATCGGCATGGATATATGTTAAACAAGACAGTAACTACAAAATAGAATTTTACTACATGTACATGTTAGGTTCCAGTATCTATTAAAAATGACAAGATTCCAAACTGATCGCTCTTAACAAAACAGAGAGAAGAATTGAAAGCATATATTTAAAAAATGTTTTTATACATCTGGATCAAAAAGTAACCTTTGTTTTTTGAATGGAAAAATCAAACGCACGTTTGTATGCCGCGAAAATATGTTGCTGACAGAGTTGGTAGGATGTGCTGGTGTTAAGATGAGATGTTCCAATTGTGATTTTAATGACTACATCTTTTTTGACATATTTTTTTAGACATTGAAGAAAGAGTAACGTACATTTCAAGCTACATTTCTGAATAAAATCACCCTCTACTTTATCGTCTTGTCATTATTCCATGTATTATAATTTGATGAAAAAAATCTGGAAACAAAATCTTCAGATACTTTCTTTCAAAGTTAATTGATAGAAAAACTGTTATCTTGAACTTCATTTTTTAAAAAATCAGAGAGGCATTTGTGCCCTTATATTGAGAATGGGTGACAGTGTCATTTAAATAACATTCGTACCACTCATTCTTTCATGCATTCTTGTTTATATGTAAAAAAAAAAACTTGTATTATTTGTATTCATACGTATACCCCAGTTGGGGTCTTTGTCTTAAATAAAAACTTGAAACTTGAGAATTATTGATTTTTTTTTTTTTTTTTTTTTTTTTTTTTTTTTTTTTTTTGTTGTAAGAATTTATTGTATTCTAGAATCCACAGCTAGAGGCAACATCCAGACCACCATTATTTCTTTTGAGAGAAGCGAGAATCAGGCACAGATTATGCAAGAAAAATACATTTAGGCCTATCAACTTTAGTCAGATGTTAATCTATATTTTACATCTATAAACCAAAGTTAACGCGATAATCTAGGTTTCAGAACTGTAAACTATACTTAACACCGAAAACAATCATTTGCGATCGCAAAACATAGATTATCTGATGAATACAGTTTCACGATTCGTAAACTATGGCACGCCAAATTCACAAAAAAGAGCTAAACCTAGTTTCACAATTGATAAACTAGGTTTATCGACTGTAAACTATAGTTTACAAACCGTAAACTATAGTTAACGATTCGTTAAGTATAGTTTTCATCTGTAAAACTATATTTAACGGTTGTTAACTATAGTTTACGAATGCTAATCTAAGTTTATCTGTCTGTAATAAGCGTTAACAATAGATTTTGTTGATAAACATAGATTCACGTTTGTAAACTATGGTTTACAATCGTAAACTATAGTTAAGAGTTGTTAATCATAGTTTCACAAATCGTGAAACTATATTTATCAGATCGTTAACTATAGTTAAGGGTTGTAAACTATAGTTTACAAATCGTGAAACTGTATTTATCACATAATCTATGTTTTGCAACCGCAAATGATTGTTTTCGGTTTTAAGTATAGTTTACAGTTGTGAAACATAGATTATCGCGTTAACTATGGTTTACGGATGTAAAATATAGATTAACGTTGTTAAGGTAGGAATCTTCTCACATTTCTTGTATTTAAAAATTAATGAAATTTTCACAGAATCAAGAGGACAATATCACTAAGTGATGGTATCAGTGAGATTAAATTTGACCGTTTAATATTAGAGGCAAGGTCAGGTCAAGGTCATTACCTTTTTCCTGGACATTGAGAATAAAAAAAGTACTGTTTCCAATCATGCGATCCTTACTCGTAATTCAAAAGATTGAATGTTTTTCTTTTTGCATAAAAAGATACTACCATGTAGGGCCTATAAGATGATATTACCGAATTGACATGGATAATTTAAATTAAATGGATATTTGCTAATCCGAATTTCCTCTACTTTTCTTAAATTTTTAGGATTTATTAGTTATTTTTATATGCTTCCTATATTTAACTTTTTCCAGTTTTCACATATAGTAAAGTTGTCACATAAAGGTACAAAATGATACAAAAACTAGAAGTTTTGATCGTTTACTAAGAGAGAAATAACACTTTTTGCGGATTTTTGGTTCAAATCTTTACTTAGATTTGAAGCATTTAAAAGCCAACATAGTTCTAGTATGTGTGAAAAATCTTATTTATTTGATATATTTCGAAACTTTAGTCCCTTACCATTGATTTAACTTACATTTGAAATTTTCGTCTAGTCTTTGATTGCGTAAAAATTATAACTAAATTTAATGTACTATAATAATTTTGAGAGGCAGAAAAGAAGGTATTTTCATACGCCGCCATTCCACCAAAAATATAGTCCCTGCTAGTTTTCAAACGCAGTTTACCATTTCTATTTAAAGTTGTATAATTGTGATGAGGAAAGAAAAATATGGTCTTTTAAATCTCTTACATCTAAATATACAAGACATATCAACAAATGTACTTTGAATATTCCATCTAGTCAGAAACCTGAGAAGAATCCTACCTTAACTATAGTTTACAGTCCGTAAACTATAGTTTACAACCGATAAACCCAGTTTATCGACCGTGAAACTATGTTTTGCTCATTTATGTGAATTTGGCGTGCCATAGTAAACTATGGTTTACAACCCTTAACTATAGTTAACGACGTGATCAGGGACCTAGGGTTAACAACCGTTAACAACCGTCCCTGATGTGATAAATATAGTTTCACGATTTGTGAAACTATGATTAACAACTCTTAACTTTAGTTCACGATTGTAAATCATAGTTTACAGACATGAATCTATGTTTATAAAAAAACCTAATTGTTAACGTTTTATTACAGACAGATAAACTTAGATTAGCATTCGTAAACTATAGTTAAAAACCGTTAAATATACATGTAGTCAGTTTTACAGATGAATTGTTAACTATAGTTAACGGTTTGTAAACTATTGTTTACAGCCAATAAACCTAGTTTATCAACTGTGAAACTATGTTTAGCTTATTTTTGTGAATTTGGCGTGCCATAGTTATGACCCAAAAATACGAAATCCAGTGACAAAAAATTGCTGCAAATGTTTACAATCATCAAAAAAAAAAAAAAAAAAAACGTTTAAAGATGCCAGAGAATTTGACCTACCACTAACAGAAGGTGACAATATAAGTTAAGGTTCATTGATACTTTGCTAAGAGAAATAACTTAATTGATGTCTTTATTCCTTAAATTGATTTGTCAAGTAGAAATGTCTCCTTTGTACAATTACACCCCATCAGCAGTATTGAAATTGATAGCATTTTACTTAATATGCATTGGATGATGTTTTATACATCCTGTTATCAGTTTGAGACATGTAGAACCAGGTAAATCTCCTGTAGCAAACATTAGATTTGAGACTTGTTCCAATAATTAAGGTATCTCAACTGAAGCGTTTTAATTTCATTATTTGTCCAGTTCAGTAATACACCCTTTCAATAACGTTTATTACTTCGGAATGAAGATTAAATTCCAACATGTGACAAGACATGATACATTTAGGTTTAGTGATACAGTGTAACTTGACCATGCATTAAATGGAAAAAAAAATATACCAGACTTTGAACATTTCATAGACATATATTATATACATACAGCATGTCAAATGAAAGTTTATAAATCTCTTACCGAGTCTTTAGTATTCCATGGGTCGGCTGCCAAAACGTCCATTTTCATGGGAGCATCCACTGTTTCCTGCACCGGTGTTTTGTCTGGTGATTCCGCGGGAGTTTCCTCCGTTTTTGGAGTTTCCTCTTTTGGCTCTTCAACAACCTTTTTCGGAGTCCGTTTGGGGCTTTCATTAAAAGCTATGGACTTCCCTTCATATGCGTCCGGTACATAGTCGAAACACGATTGTTTGACTCGTACTTTGGTTGGATGAGGGTGCGGGGCGAAGAAATCATAGTCGTCTTCCGGTGACTTTTCTTTCTTGTCTTTCTTCTTGTCCGCCATGTCAACCAAAGAGGAAGAAGCTATGCCTCACTAACGGAAATCTGGAGAACAGAAAAAAATATTTGCCTTCTTATACACGTAAATGTTTTAGAAGATTTCTAATTTTATTTATTTTTTCAAAGGATTCTTTAAATAATTTTAAAAATAAAAATAACGTGCACGTATTTCATAAGCATCACCGTTTATTTTCGAATTCATCCCATACGATAATTCAATCGAGAATCTCTTCGTATTGCTACGGCGTGTTGTTATCTTATAGATAAACTTGATGACAGTATGCACGAATTCATCTGAATCCGACCCACCCGAATAATACCTTATCTTGAAACTAGATACATTGTTTCACCATATGGCTTATGCAGAATCAGAAAACATTCAATCATATTAGTCGTAGTTGTTTGCATGCAAAACTCTTTTCTGCACCTCACTTGAACCCAAATATCAAAAAGGTATGTGCGAAATACATGCATGTATAAATGAGTGTTAATTAAATATTATCAATATGCCTTCTATTTTGATTATGCTGGGAATAATTCGTACAGATTCCCGATGGTTTGTACAGCCATGCCCTCTTGAAACAGAATATACTTGTATACAGTCTATAGTCTTACCTCACATTATTGTAGAATATTCCAAAATACTGGCTTTATGTATATCTGAAAGCAACAAAACACTCCAAGAATACGATTTTGTAGAAAATTACTAGAAACCATGAAATATCGAGATATGCTTCAAAGCTCTTAAAAGGGTAACATGAACCAAGGTTATTTTGCTACGATATCGATGCACATTAAGAATAATTTTCGAGAAAATAAAATGTGAGGTAAAAAGCAAGCAGTGAGGCTGTATCCCACAGCAAAACAATGAAAGAATTGTTTACGTATTCAAAATTTTTGTTAAATATATTTTAGGATATGCCAATACAAAAAGGAGGTGAACTAGTGAGGGTGTAAGATTTTAATGATTTGTATCATGCAATCATCACTGTAAGTTAAACTTTAAAGGCTTACTTCAGTAGATTCAGATGTTTGGATACATTGTCGCATTTTTGGCGACAAAATCAAATTTGAAATTAAAAATTAGTATTCTGAACTTCTGAATGAAAAACACATTTTGCATTCTAAGATAAAATGAATTTATGAATGTTATGAAGAGAACTGAGCTTGTATGAAATATGGATGCATCTGAAGTATACTTTCAAGCTATTTCTTCCCATTTTTCCATTGTAATATGAGAATGCAAAATTTGGGCACATTCTTCGACTACATGTAACATCCCTTTTTTGACCTTTAGAATTAAGCTACTCCGAGGTATAGATAATGGTTGTGTAGGACAAATATATGAGCTCTGTGTCCTACACAACCATTATCTGGACTTAGTTGATGTTACTGGTAAACAACAAATAACTTGCTTCCTGTCGACAAGAAAATAGTCCTCATTTTTATGTTATTCAATTTATTTTCAAAAAATCTTTTCATCGTTTCATCGTTCGTAGATAACACGGGGTGGAACTCTGCCATTTAGTTCACTGCAAGGTACATTGTAACTGAAACTGGAAAAAGACTGAATTGCAAAGCTCTGCTATTCTGTGACTCTTTAAGACACTTGGACCATCACAATTTAGTTGACTAAATGGTGTAGGTTCTTCCTTTGTAAGTCACTTGGGAGAATTAAATGATATCTTTAAACAAAGTACGGTAAGACTTGGAATCGTTCAAGTTGACTTTTGACAATATTCTTCGTATTTGAACAAGAGATCTAGAGACCGACCAGCCTTTTGCTAAAGTAAGAAATTTTTTTCCCTGGCTATAAATGGACATCTAGTGGTGAAGAAGATCGGGACTTTAAAGAATGGTAGATACTAACTGGTATGCATTTTGTCAATGAAACCTGTGTTTTATACGGTACAATTAAAAAGGAATACAAAGTCCGCTTTATTAACAATCCAACCTATAACTGCTTCTATTATGGTCCGATAAAATCTTAAACTTACTGACTACTAAATTTATTTGAAGTCACAAAAGAAAAAAAAATCATTGAAAGCTTGCATGGCAAATTCACCAAATTGAGATTTAATCTCACCCTTTGCTTTCAAACAGGGTTGCGTTATTGAAAAGTTTGATAAGACTTGTGTAGGAAAAAATATCCTGTCGACCTAATTCATCAAGTCGTAACCTTATTAATGTGTGATTAATGTTCATTAATCAAGAGAATTACGTTTTGACCTGATTTCCATTACCTAAAAAACACTTTTTCCCAAATATATTTCTTTCAATGTATATTATGTGCAGTAAAATAAGTACGAAGACAATGCCACATTCTAGTTCTTTCTTTTTTTTTTTTACCAGAATCAATAGAATAATGACGACAAAAGAAATCTTTCGCTTTAATACGGAAGCGTATTAGTGCCACGCAATATTTTTTTTTAAAATTGGTAATTCCAACTTTAAAGTTGGAAATTTCCAACTTTAATCTTGGCTTTTCCAACTTTAAAGTTGGTAATTCCAACTTTAAAGTCGGTAATTCCACCTTTAATCTTGGCTTTTCCAACTTTAATCTTGGCTTTTCCAACTTTAAAGTTGGAAATTCCAACTTTAATCTTGGCTTTTCCAACTTTAAAGTTGGAAATTCCAACTTTTATCTTGGCTTTTCCAACTTTAAATGTTTCATTTGATTAAATAAAATTTGATTACATTGAGTATTCAATTGTTGTCTAATTCTTTCATGCAATACATATTAAATGACTAATATCTGTAATTGGTTGAGTTGAAATCCTGTCATGTACGGAATACTGTGTACATAATTTAGATGAAGTTATTATCAATAGAAATACACAAGAGAACTTAAAGGAATATAAAGATTTCTAAGTTAAAGTTGGAAGTTTTATGTAAGGTCATAAGGAAGGTGAAGGTAAAAAAAAAATAAAACAAACACAGATAAAAAGAGTTCAACAATTTATTTTAATGTGCTAATATCTATTTTCTAAAAGTGCCATAATGTAACTCCACATAATCCCATCCTCTCTTCTTACCTCCCCCTCCCCCCCCCCCCCCCATTTCGACCCCTACCCCTACATTGCAATAATAAATTGCTAACAAATCTATTTCACTTTAATTAAGTTTGTGATACTTTAAAAAAAATTAAAAAACTAAGAAAAGCGGGTAGAAAAGTCAAGATTAAAGTTGGAAAAACCAACTTTAAAGTTGGAATTACCAACTTTAAAGTTGGAAAAACCAACTTTCAAGTTGGAATTACCAACTTTAAAGTTGGAAAAGCCAAAATTAAAGTTGGAATTTCCAACTTTAAAGTTGGAATTACCAATTTTAAAGTTGAAAAAGTGAAGATTAAAGTTGGAATTTCCAACATTAAAGCTGGAATTGCCAACTTTAAAGTAGGAAAAGCCAAAATTAAAGTTGGAATTTCCAACTTCAAAGTTGGAATTACCAACTTTAAAGTTGAAAAAGTGAAGATTAAAGTTGGAATTTCCAACATTAAAGTTGGAATTGCCAACTTTAAAGTAGGAAAAGCCAAGATTAAAGTTGGAATTTCCAAAATTAAAGTTGGAATTGCCAACTTTAAAGTTGGAAAAGTCAAGATTAAACTTGGAAAGCCAAGATTAAGTTGGAATTTCCAACATTAAAGTTGGAATTACCAACTTTAAAGTTGGAAAAGCCAAGATTAAAGTTGGAATTACCAACTTTAAAGTTGAAAAAGCCAAGATTAAAGTTGGAATTTCCAACATAAAAGTTGGAATTACCAACTTTAATGTTGGAAAAGCCAAGATTAAAGTTGAAATTGCCAACTTTAAAGTTGGAAAACCAAGATTAAAGTTGGAATTACCAACTTTAAAGTTGGAAAAGCCAAGATTAAGTTGGAATTTCCAACATTAAAGTTGGAATTACCAACTTTAAAGTTGGAAAAGCCAAGATTAAAGTTGGAATTGCCAACTTTAAAGTTGGAAAAGCCAAGATTAAAGTTTGAATTTCCAACATAAAAGTTGGAATTACCAACTTTAAAGTTGGAAAAGCCAAGATTACAGTTGGAATTTCCAACATAAAAGTTGGAATTTCCAACATAAAAGTTGGAATTACCAACTTTAAAGTTGGAAAAACCAAGATTAAAGTTGGAATTACCAACTTTAAAGTTGGAAAACCAAGATTAAAGTTGAAATTACCAACTTTAAAGTTGGAAAAGCCAAGATTAAAGTTGGAATTTCCAACATTAAAGTTGGAATTACCAACTTTAAAGTTGGAAAAGTCAAGTTTAAAGTTGGAATTACCAACTTTAAAGTTGGAAAAGCCAAGATTAAAGTTGGAATTACCAACTTTAAAGTTGGAAAAGCCAAGATTAAAGTTGGAATTTCCAACATTAAAGTTGGAATTACCAACTTTAAGAAAATATTGCGTGGCACTAATACGCTTTCGTACTTTAAAGATAAGTACATGTAAGTGATTTTTTTTCTATATAAAAAAAAAATCTTTCTTTCTTTTCAAGATATATCTACTGCTACTGTTCACTGTAGGTGAACAGTTAAAATTAAAGTATGCATTCTGATAAATAATATAGAGATATATAAATAAAGAAAACTGATGTCTTCTTTTGGCATAGCTCAAGAAATTGAACTAAAACAAAAACCTGGCAAAATAAATAGTTCAAAACTTCTGATGGCACTTTAAATTCTGATAATTATATCACTATTATCAGTTTGCTGCAAAACTTTCTAGGCCATGCATGATGTATGTAATCCTGGAAGAACTTTTAACAGTTGCAACAATGCGTCAGATAGCGTCACCGAGACTCTTCGATTGCATCTTGAAAGGAGTAAATTAACAAGCTTCAGCGTGGCAAAGACAATAAAAATCAAAAGCTCACATGCACATGCTTTGCTTGTTAACATTTACAGAGGCCATTAACTTCGAAACAGAAAACACTATTATGATTAAAATGGACGTTCCAATTTTAAAGATATTATCAGCACTGTTTGACATATTCTTCTGAAATCTGTCAAGTTTTAGACTATAAAAATGTCCCTCATTTAAGCGACCTTGGCCACTCAGACAAATAAAATAGTAATCACGCAGTACTACTGTTATTCTGTTGTTTGATACAATACTTCAACTAGTAATCCCCTCTTTTAAGGCAATTTCATCTTTGATAAAAGATTATATAATCACTGTCAGACATGTATATTCTTCTGGATTTTTGTCAAGTTTTATGATAAAAAAAATTGGTTATGAGCATGAATGGAACATCAACAAGATTAACGTTTCTCATAAATCTAAAAGGAGATCTTTGTAACTACTAGTATATATGAGGAATAATTTTCTAAATATACATGTACTTGGCACTGATATACTCAATGTGACTTCATTATGTAGCTAGAATGATAATCAACATGCTGATTTTGATCTTCAGCATACACACTGCGTAATACAAGTTCACACTGGTTCCATGAATGTAAAGAAGAGACACTTTCATGTTTTTCAAGCATTTTAAATAGAATTTATAATTTGATAAAACTCATTTTAGAATGACTTGATACTTGATACGTAAGAACGCACTTTACTTACAAATACAATGTCATTACTAAAAACAAGGCAAGCTGTTGACAAACAAGTTGATAAAGCACAAGAATTAACAAATTCAATTAAAGTCTATTTTTTGCAATTTTTTTGGTTAATACAATGACCTTGTCAACAAATACTATCAATCATTAAGTCGAATGCTGATTGACGTTTTTCATAAAAAAAATAATTGTTAGACCATTATTTACACACTGAATTGTCAACGTATTTCTCCTTTTTCCCGATTATGACAAGGAGCACACTGCGGGTGAGACCGATTGAGCTAAATTACTGTTCGATACTAGTATTTCAATCATATTTCATGAAATACACTATATTGAAATATCATACATGCTGGCATTTTCAATTTGTGTTTGGTATGATTAAAATTATCAACATCAGGCTTAAAATCCAATATAATCCTAACCACATATCATAGATATCAAACTAAGCTTGCAGTTTGATGGAAAATTGACATTTTGATTTAACTCATCATCTTTACGCTATCAGAATAAATGATTTAATTACCAAAAGTAAGTTTTATACTAAGGATACAATATTGAAAATGATTTATTATTGCATTGTACATAATATCTGCTGACGAGTGCAGAATTGCTACAATAAGGGACATGATGTGCTGTGCTTAATTGATACTGCATGTTTAACTTCTTGAATGTTAATTTGCAACATCCAGTTTAACACAGCTCTTACCAATTTTACAAGACAATGCCATTTATCATTTAATTTCAGACTTATTTACAAGTAAAACTCCTTGATTTACGACAGATGTTGTGTCTAACTTCATTCAATTATCATAGCTTAACTTGATGTCAAAATAAAGGGTTGAAAATGATTGCAATGTTTAAAGAAGGACCATCTGTGTTTATCCTAAATGAAGCAAAACAATGTTCATTTCTTCACGTATACACATTTATTCATGATTATATATGTGGCTCATTATCAATTGCACAAGGTAAAACATGCCTAAAGGAAAACACACACACTGACATACTAGTTAGGGGCATGAAGAAAGCTTTTCCATCAATTTTCCCTGACCAGAACAAACACCAATAAGCAAAATATTGATAAACAGATACCATTTGACAGGACACATCAAATGCAACATCGCAACATCATCGAGTTTGTCACTTAATTCAACACCTGCATTTAAGTGGGCTAAGTATTGATGCAATATATGCGTTAATAATCTTACCTGTTCAGGTAAATGCGGATCAATGTGAGATTGTATGAGGCTTCAATACTTCTAGGCAGTCAAAACATGGAGTCGTTCCATGTGTGTTTTTCTACTCACTTATCTCATACATGCATTATCGGGGCCTCCACTTCTGATTGTTGAGGAAAAAATCGATGCCGAACGTCTGCATCTTCGCGGAAGCGGCTCGCAGACTCATTAAACAATTTACTTTGCTTAGTCAAATCTGTGAGTCATACAAAAATGCAAAATGACACTACTTGCTTGGATTCAGAGAAATGTGCTGCAGTGCAGTGCAATAGATTGTTCAGATCATAACTAAATCAATGGTTCAAATAATTCATTTTTCATAACTAAATCAATGGTTCAAATGATTTATTTTTCTAATACAGCATTGATGCTATGATCATTGAATATTAAATTTACTTTGTATATTGATATATGAAATTCATTTTAGATATTGATGGCAATTTTAAAGAAATTTAAATACTGATGGGAGTCTCCTGCATGTCCATATAGTGGCATTGTCCACTTCCTTAATTCACATGCATTTACTCGACATAGCTTCCATACCAAAACTTGGGAGAATCTGAACTGCAAATCTTTTAAATAAATGTTGTCTACGGAATAGAATGTAATCTTTGTGGACTTGATTTTGCTGGTGAAACCAAGAGTTTGAAATAAATAATGGAGGTCTGCAACTTTTAAGCAACTTTCATTGACAAAATAGAATGATCTGGTAAATTAAAATGCTTGTAAGCATTTTAATTTACCTGGTCATTCTATTTTGTCAATGAAAGTTAGAACTTCTAGAAAAGATTTACCACCACACAAACAGTCTACATGTATCACTGAGTACACCTTTCCGTAGACAAAGAGTAGAGTTTTGGATTAGAAGACTATAGGGATAGCCTTTCCCTATGGATGTCATTACAACGCGTCGATAGTGTTGGAAATATTTCCAGTCCATAGTGTAACAATGTAAATTTGATGAGACATTTCAAACATAGACAAATACGTAAGCGTAGTCATGGGCATTGGTCATACAATAAATCTTTTAAAAATACAGTACGATGTCTCTTTTGATTCCTTACAACCTTATGCAAATCAGAAGTTAGGTCTACATCATATTCGCACCATGCAAACTCTACTCTTGTCCCTTTGGAACTTTTTTTTTGGAATAGTCTTCTTGAAAAAAAGGTCAAGGAAATTCCATTTTTTGCTTCAGAGTACTGTGCGACAATATATTCAAGAAGCGGAATAAATTAGATGCGGATACTTAAAAATTCCAAGGAACATTTAGAAAATTTGAAATCAAAAGATTTTATCAAAATCAACAGCTCAAAAACTTTCGACTTTTCAACTTTATGCACTTGTAACAATTTTAGGCTTTTTGATATCACAGGCAACTGCTTTTTTTTCTTTTTTTTTTATAAATTTATTTACCTTTCTTTGGTCATTTGATTTTGAAACAAAATATCTTATTAAAACATTCTTATTGTATACACAAGTACTCTTAAGTTGACACTTAAAAAGATGCTTAAGGTTCTGATTGACAATATCTATGTGGTTGTTGAAGACCAGTTCTTCCAACAATCTTTTAGAATTTCCATGGGAATCAAAACACTTGCTGTGGCATTCATCTCCACATTATATAAATATAGCCCTTTGATGAGGTCGATCCATAGATATATCGAGCACGAAGTGCGAGGTCGATATGTTTTTCTGTGAAGTCGATATATCTATGGATTGACCGAATTAAAGGGCTACATTTGTTATATTATTTTTTACAAAGATTAACAAAACAAAATTTGAAAATAATGGGGAAAAGACAAAAGTTTTTTTTCTTTTTAACACTTAGAGACTATAGATCAAAATGAAAAAATTAAGCTGTCTAATGTAAATATGTTTCTATTGATGGAGTAGTTTAGAGGACTTACATATATTCAAAATACTTCATTTATTTGATTATATAATTCTTTTGACAAACATATCCAATATGTTTTAATATAAAGTACCGTATAAGGGGAATTTTTAGCAAGACGCAAATTTAGCGATCTTTCTTTAAAAACTGGTAATTTTTTTTAGCGAGATGTTATATTAGCGATTTTCAAATGCACACTAAAAAAGCTATTGCAAATAATACGCAATTTATTTTTAGCGATATTCAATTTTAGCGATCTCGGCACCCTGGCTAATAATGCCAAAATTAAATCCTCGCTAAAAATTCTACTTATACGGTAGTTCCTAATTCAAGGCATTGTTACATCTCATCAATTACATAACAATAAAAAATATTATTACAAGTTGAAGTATATATTTTTTTCAAAAACATCAAGTCATACACTGTATTAGCTAAAATTGTGAAATCAGTACTATTTTTACTGAAAATTATTTTCATTTTAAGGAACGTCAAGTCGATATGCATTTCAGTTTCTATAAATAGATAGTAACTCAAGTCTTTATGCTGTTATATACTTAATCATGTGATCAAGTTTGAGCCAATCAGAGAACTTGAAATAAATGATAAAAATAATATTTAGTTATATCGACGACGTATATATTGTCAATATATTTTTTTAATCACCAATGGTTATATTTCCATTCTTATGTCGTTGTGATATATTCCTGTGAACTTGAGATAAAAGATACCACAGAGTCTGATACATCTGTTTCATATTTGTATATCTTACTTGCAAAGACGTTAATGGTAATCTATCAACCAAGCTTTATGATAAATGTGATGACTTTAACTTTCCAATCGTCAGCTTCCCTTACTTATGCAGCAATAAACCTTCATCACTTGCATACGGGGTTTAAATCTCTCAATTTATTCGATATGCATTCGCAAGATCATTGTAAGTATGTAAAATTTCTAAAACGACTTAAATTATTGACAAACAAGTTGAGGAAATAAGAATATCAGCAGTCTCGTTTAAACTCATCATTTCATGGTCGATAAAATGACCTTGTCAGCAAATTTTATTTATCATTGAGTCAAATGCTGACGGATGTTTTTCATACTAATTGTTACTACGTCATTATCTACACACTGAATTGTTGACGGATCTTTCCATTATTTCCCGATCATGACCAGGGGGCACATATAGCGGGTGTGACTGGTCAGCAGGGGATGCTCACTTTTCCATGGCATCTGATCCAACCTCTGATGTTTTGGAGGTCCGTGTTTGCTCTGCACCTACTTTGTTTTGTTTAGTGGACTTTTGAGCTGGAATACTCTTCGTTTTCTCAATATATTTCATGGTAGACAATCCTCTCCAGCCGCTTTACCACTCTTCGATGATTTTAGGGTTTTCTTGTTTCTTGATATTGTCAACCTTTATGTTAAGGTCTTCTCTTGGTTGAAAGGTTACCAGTTGGTCTGGTTCTGGCCTATTTAAGACAGTAATGAAATGCTGAATCCACCTTTGTATTCGTTCATTTAGTTTCTTGAGGGCCTTACCATCTTTGTATTTGACAAGTTTAGATTATCATGTTTAACGTCTAACTAAGCAAGATTTTTTTTATGTTCTAGAGAGTCTTACTAATATATCCCCAAAGTAAATGTCTACTGTGCTCTTTCTGCTTCTGTTGCAAGTTGGTTGACATACTCTCTTTTGTCATACGTACATGATTTTTTTTTAATTCCTTATCTAGAGTTTGGTGCTTGGCACGTGCGTCACTCTTTTGTGCTATTGTTTTAGCGTTGTTAACTTTGTCTTTCATTTCAAGCCTTTCTTAACCATCTGTCATGTGGAATCGGATATATATTCTTTCTTTTCGTTTGTGCCTGCGTGGCGCAGTGGTTAGAGCGTGTACTCTAGAGTTGCAAAGTAAGGAGTTGATCCTTACGTCGCGGGTTCGAATCCCACTGTAGGACGCGGAGACCAGTCCTTCGGATGAGGACCGTATAAACCGAGGTTTCCATGTCGCAGTAGGTGCTGGCACGAAAAAGACCCCTCTCTGTTTAATGGCCCTAAGTGCCGAGTCTAAGACAAAACTTTTCAGCTCTCCACCGGTAAGTTAGGTGGCGTCTCCATATGAGTGAAAAATTCTCGAGAGGGACGTTAAACGGCATACAATCAATCAATCTTCTTGTTTGCTTTCTTTTCTAGGACTTCTTCACATGTATTCTTGATGATATCCCTTCTTGGTCTTGATCATCAATGTATAGTGCACTGTATATATTCAATCCTAAGTTCCAATTGGAGTCTGTCCTAAGGCTTGTCATTCATGGTTTTGTCTACATTTTACTTTATTATCTTTGTCTCAATTTTGCATTCTTTCCCAATTTGATTTTCACTTTGGTTTGTATTATGCGGTGGTCGGCGTTAACATATTGCTCCTCTCGGAGCTTTTACACCCTATAACGAATTTCACCATCGCTGACATCATAATGTGGTCGATTTGGTTCTTTGGTTTGCCATTGGGTGTTTCAAAGGTTGTTTTGTGGATGTTTTAGTGAAGGAAAAGGCTTCTTTTTGACACTAGTTTGATGGTTGCGCAAAACTCAATTAGTCTATCTTTATTTTTATTCCTCTCTCCAATACTGTGTTTTCCCATTACCTTTTCTCTGCTTTTTTACTCTGACCGATTTTAGCATTCATGTCACCTATAACTATTCCAATATCTCTCTGTGGGGCGTTGTTCCAAGTTTGCCGTACTTTTTCGTAAAAGTTGTCAATATCCTCCTCCTTGTGTAGCCTCATTGATTGGTGCTTAGTACTAAATGATGGTAATTTTTGGTATTTAGCTTTAACCCCAATTATTCTTTCATTGACAGGTTCCTATCCATGTGACTTTTTTTTTTTGATTTCTTGGATGCATTATCGCCACTCCTTGTGTCATGATCTTTCCGTTTTCATTGCCAGGATTTTTCTCCTGTTTTCAGTGTTATCTGTCCACTTTGATTCCATCTTGCTTCGGCTATGCTTAGATCGTCGATGTTGTAGACTCCCATTTCCTTAGCTATTTGTGTGCATCGTCCCGTCTCGTATACATGTACGTTACTTACATTCCAATGAGCAAATTTTGTGATTGTTTTGGGTGAAAACAGTGGTATCATTTTGTTAAACATCATTTTCTGTTGTGCATGGGGGTCTTCAGTTGTTTTTTCAATGATAATAATGTCGCTCCAACTCTTGAAGGACAAGCATAGTTAGCGTCTGAAGTAGTTTCTGTAATCATGAGGGTTTTTTAACAGGACAAGGTGCCTAACTCCCGGAGGGACAGTGATTAGAGTAAAGGTTTCCATCTTCTAGATGAGCTGCTATCCAAAGCTAATAATTCCCATCTAACCAATGGTTGAATTTTATATATCAGAGTTTCATCTCTTAGAAGGTTGTCCACCATGGCTAACGACTCCTTTCTAGCCGGCTATTAACCCATAGCTGTACATGGCTGATGAGTGCTGGGGTATGCCCAAACGCAAAAAGGAGTACACACTGCATATCTGGGGCCCTTGCTTTTCCAAGATCCACTTCAATTTAGCCTGGGGTTGCAAGGACCCCATGCAGTTTATCATGCACCGCCATGAGGAGGCATTGAAGAGGTCTTGGTCACCACCTCTAACGTCCTTATCCGACACCCATGATCACATTTTAAAATGCGAATGAAGTTCTTTGAAAAATGTAATAAGAGTTCTTGGAAGAAGGGTACCAAGTTTGGAAGACTTACCAAAACGAACTCTAATGTCCCCACGGTCACATTCTTAAATGCAAATGAGCTACCTTAAAAATGTAATAAGGAGTTCTTGGAACACGGCTTTTTGCATTTAGTAATAAAAGGCATTTTTGCTCCAAACTGTCCCCTGGAATATTATGTTGCAATCAAGTTGTATTGTGAAACATCATAGAGCAGTCGGTAGAATGTCAGTCTTCACTATAAATCCGAACTTTCAGTTTGTACATTTAGAAAAGACATTCAATTAGTGTACACTACAAAAGTTTACGATATCTCTTAAGACTACTAGTATTGCCTCCCGTCATAGATTATTAGGGTACTGCATGAAGACAACGTCAAAATATTAAGAAACCAGAAGATTCTGTCGAGAATGAAGCTCTACTGATTTTTATGTGTATCTTAGTCTACTTCTGTTCAAAGTTATATTGAAATCAGACCAAAACTGTAGGACGAGTAGCATATTGAAACAATTTCACAGAAATTTCTATTTTTAGTAACCACGGCAACACTGTTCATCGAAATCAAAAAACCCATAACGAGAATTATGTATCTTAGTGTACTCTACTCGTGTGCCAAGTTAAATTGAAATCCGACCAAAAATGTAGGAGTAGCAATTTGAAAAATTGTTTACAGACAAACAGCTAGACGGACAGACAGACAGACGCCGGACGCATTACTATCGCATAAGCTCTTCTGGTCTCAGACCAGTAGAGCTAAAAAGGGTCAGTCCAAAGACCACATGGCAAAATATCAGTTGTCCAGGAGATGCTTTCTCTAGTGATTCATCTGTCATACAGATTCCCTTACTGAACACGTGGTCGATTTGATATTTCAGCCAGATTGTTCTTCGAGATAATAAAATAAAGATAGAGCAAGGGATTTGACCGGGTGGAAGAACTGTGTGGCGACTGTTCCTTATGTGCAATTTAGTAGGAAAGACCAAGCAAATAAATATAAAATTAATTCAGCAGTTTAGGCCATGGACTGAATAAAAATTGTATAACTAGTATACATATATTTTTACAAAATACATTAGATGGTTGGGATTTGGCATTACTCACTAAACACTATAAAGAAGTCGGTATTCAAAGAAATGAGTGTTTGTTTATTATGCCCGAAACATTTACCATATATAGCTTTTGACAGAATGATAATATTCTTGAAATTTTAAATCTTTTATTTCAATTATGTAATTTTATATTACAATTTAAGATGTACAGTACATGAAACAAAAACACTATAAAGAAATTAACAACAGGCATTTGTATAAGTAACAAAAACTAAACGAGTTTTGACTCACACAAAAAATGTTTCATACATGTAAAATACATGTAATTAGGTAACAGCAATTCGTTTTGTGCAATTATTGAACACAAATCATATAATATCTAAAACTTATCTAAGTTTTTTTTCTGTAGCAATTCTAAAGAAACAAACAGATTCTTTCTGTGCAGTAAACATATAGATTATCAAAAAAAAAAATAATAATAAAAGTGTTAAATAATTTCACAGGGTAAAAACGAAATTGTTACATTCAAAAAGCAGTATTGAATGTCAGTAATGCCCCCTATGCCATTTATAAGCACCGTAAAATATTATGCAGTAAGCTGGAAATTAGGAGAACATTTCTTCCTCTGGGGGCTTAGAGACCCATGTTCCAAAATTGTTTTGCTTTAACTTCAAAACTAGTGCCTTTTTAGCTGTCTGAAATTCAGTTGCTGCTTGTTTGGCCTTTCCGTAAGTCTGGAAATTCAGTAAATTGTTTTTTCCTAGTTTCAGACACACTTCTTTGAAGCTATCGTATAAATTCCTCTTGGAACAGCGAGAAAATAAAGTCTTCTCAATGCTAAAGAAGACAATGTTCAGGTTAAAAACAACAAGAAACAACAAGAAAGCAACATTATTGAAACATATTAAATGAGAATGCAATTTACGGATCAAAGAAGAGCATATCAAATTGGAATGAAAATGCAATTTTATATTTGAACTTTGAAACACATTCTAAGCCAGAAGTACATTCACATCTCATTCTAATACAGTCAAACCTGCTTATCTAGAAATTAACAAGAGGCCCAAGGGCCTTGAATCGCTCTTCTGATAAATTGTACAACCTATCACTTGTATTTGAAGCCTCTAACCCTAAGTATCCTAAGACCAAAGTTGCATCACCTGACAAAGTTTGATTATTCTAAGCCAATAAATACCTAAGATAATTAAATATAGCCATAAAATGTCGAAAGTAGGTCATCGTGACCTACATTTTAGTCAACATTTTTCAGAGTCCCAAGATGCATCTGCTGACTAAGTTTGATAATTCTAAGCCAATAAATACCTGAGATATTCAAAAGTAGGTCACTGTGACCTACTTTTTGGTCGACATTCTCGGAAAACCCAAGATGCATTAACTGACAAAGTATGATGATTCTAAACCAATAAGTACCGGAGATACTTAAATATAGCCATAAAATGTCAAAAGTAGGTCACTGTGACCTACTTTTTAGTTGTCATTCTTGGAAAACCGAAGATGCATCAACTGACAAAGTTTGATGATTCTAAGCCAATAAGTACTGGAGATACTTAAATATAGCCGCGAAATGTCAAAAGTAGGTCATCGTGACCTACATTTTGGTTGACATTTTTTAGAGTCCCAAGATGCATCTGCTGACCAAGTTTGATAATTCTATGCCAATAAATACCTGAGATATTCAAAAGTAGGTCACCATGACCTACTTTTTTGTTGACATTCTTGGAAAACCGAAGATGCATCAACTAACAAAGTATGATGATTCTAAACCAATAAGTACCGGAAATACTTAAATATAGCCAAAAAATGTCAAAAGTAGGTCACCGTGACCTAATTTTTGGTGGACACTCTCCGAAAACCTAAAATCCATCAACTCACAAAGTTTGATGATTCTAAGCCAATAAATACCTAAGATACTGAAATATAGCCATAAAATGTTGAAAGTAGGTCACCGTGACCTAATTTTTGGTCGTCACTCTTCGAAAACCCAAAATGCAAAAACTCACAAAGTTTGATGATTCTAAGCCAATAAATACCTAAGATACTTAAATCTAGCCATAAAATGTCAAAAGTAGGTCACCGTGACCTACATTTTGGTCGACATTTTTCAGAGTCCCAAGATGCATCTCCTGACCAAGTTTGATGATCGTAGGTCTGAAGGTAATCAAAATATACCTTTTAAACAGTTTGAAAACAATTGCCTGCCAAATTCAAAAAGTAGGTCACAGTGACCTACTTTTTCTTAAATATGTTTTAAGGTCCCAAGATGCAGCAACTTACAAGATTTAATGATTCTAACCCTTTCAGTGCCTGAAATAATGGGATTAAATGTTTTATAAAGGATAAGTCATGAAGTTCAAAAAGTAGGTCACAGTGACCTACTTTTAAGTTGACGTTGTTCAAAGACCCAAGATGCATCAACTGACTAAGTTTGATGACCACAGGCCTAAACGTGTCCAAAATATGCCTTAAAATCAATTTGAAAACAAATGCCCGCAAAATTAAAAAAGTAGGTCACCGTGACCTACTTTTGAGTTAACATGATGTGAAGTCCTAAGATGCATCAACTTACAAGATTTGATGATCCTAGTCCTTATAGTAAGCAAAATGTAAACATTTTTATTAACGGTAAATTTAGGTCAACTTTAAAGTGACCTTGAGACCACGCCCTTTGCCCCAGGGTCATGCCTCGAACAATTTTTAATCTTCAACATATCCTGATCCTTGTGTGTAAGTTTGGTGAAAATCTGCCTGGTGGTTCTGGAGAAGAAGATTTTTTAGCAACCAGTACTTTTGGTTTTGTTTTCCTGATTATCTCCCCTTGCTTTAGGGTCCCAACCCTTATTTTAGTATAAATGGTAGCCCTTGGGCCAAGGATACCCTGTGACAAATTTGACACTGATTGGCCAAGGGGTTCTTGAGTTATGGCCCATATTCTAAAAAGTTAACGCACACCGCACACCGCACGACGCACACCGCACAAATGGCCATAGCATTAGCTCTTTGAGCCTTTGGCTCAGAAGAGCTAAAAAGACCAAGGAAAACTTTGAGATATTTAAGGAATCAAGATGTGAAGGGTAAAATACTTCAGGAATAAGTGGCTGAGATATCTAAATCACTATATCCATGGTATTAGAGATATCAGTGTTTTATGTACCAAAGTTCAACTGTATTTAAATGCAAACAGACAAGTTAAGTGAACTCTAATTTATAAGGCACAAACCTTGTGCAACACAATCCCAGAGTTCCATCAGTGACCTCAGGTTGTGCATCAGCAAAGCACCAATTGACACTGAAGGCCTTTGTCTTCTGGGTCTCCCTGGGGACATCACAGACCGTGACCCTACCCAGCCAGGGGTGGTTCAGATGGTAGGAGTCGGGGAGCTGGGAGTTGATGTCTGGATCCCCTCGGGCAAGACGGCAACAAATGGCACGGGACAGATGACCATGATCATATAGTAATCCTGCCCAAACAAAGATTGAGTGTTAGTTGAATGCAAAATTAAGCCAAAACTGTAAGGAGAGAATCCTTTCATGGCTTCATTTGGCATATAAGTTTTTATATATTTTTCTGCAAACAATTTTCTTATCTATTATAATATATAGTAAAATTAATTTAAAGCAAAGTGTCAGGGATGGCCAATCTTGTTTCCTTTCAAGCATAATATGTTATATCCATGAAGTTCACGGAATATTTTAAAATCACAGTGAATGAAAACCACCTTCCTCTAGAATGAAAAGGGTGTCAGCTATGGCACATTTAAGCACAAAGATAAATAGTAAAATGGAAATCAAAATGAATGTCGGAATTCACAGTAAAACAGATAACAAAGAATCAGATTTTACAGTTTAAGACTGTTACACTCCTACCTAAAGTCAATGAATCAAGATAAACAGGATCCAGAATATGACTGAGTAATGCCCCCTGCATTCCGACTACGTTCCAGCGACAAATTTTATCTGTACAGGACATGGTTCGCAGCCTTTCTCCCCTTTGGATCCCATCAAAAGTCTGAGCTGTGAAATCGTCCTCTACTGGAATAGTTCCTTCACCTAATAAGAATCAAAACATTTCTACAGAGAATACATTTATACATGTAGATTAATTTTTTTTACATGTCAAGTTAAAAGCATTGATTGTTCAGTGACTACCGAAAGTTCAAGATGCAAACAGAGTTTAGAATATGAAATATATAGACAGAAATTAAACTTAATAAACATTTATTATCTTTTTGAGAGAAAAATGATTCCCTCAGCTATTAAATTTTAATTTACAATACTAAAAATTATCAAAGCTCAACATAAACAAGAGGCCCATGGGCCACAGCGCTCACCTGAGCACATCGACTTGGAAAAAGCACATATCAGATCAGAACTGAAAGTTTACTGAGAAGTTGGGGGGGGGGGGGGGGGGGGGGGTTGAATTTTAAACCCCTCCCCCCCCCCCCCCCCCCCAGGGGATCATGATCTGAACGAACTAGAATCTACACTACCATTATGATTCCATATAAATATTACTAATCATGGCTTTGAAGTACTTGAAAAGAAGATTTTAAAGGGGTTACCTATATATTCCTATGTAAAACTTTGGTCGGCCATTTTAGCCCCACCCTACCCCCAGGGGTCATAATTTGAACAAACTTGAATTTACAGTACCTGAGGATGATTCCACATGAGTTTCATCTTTCCTGGCCCAGTTGTTCTTCAGAAGAAGATTTTTAAAGATTTTTCCTATATATTCCTATGTAAAACTTTGATCGGCCATTTTGGCCCCATCCTACCCCCGGGGGTCATGATTTGAACAAACTTGAATCTACATTACCTGAAGATGCTTCCACATAAATATGACCATTCATGGCTTTGTTATTCTTGAGAAGAAGATTTTTAATGACTTTATCTATACATTTCTATGTAAAACTTTGGTCGGCCATTGTGGCCCCGCCCTACCCCCGGGGGTCATGATTTGAACAAACTTGAATCTACACTAACTGAGGATGATTCCACATAAGTTTCATCTTTCATGGCCCAGTGGTTCTTGAGAAGAAGATTTTTTTAAAATGCCATTAATTTTTCACTAATTCATATTATTTATCTCCCCTTTGAAGAGGGCTTGGCCCTTCATTTGAACAAACTTGAATCCCCTTCACCCACTTTGTGGCAAGTTTGGTTGAATTTGGCCCAGTGGTTCTTGAGAAGAAGATGAAAATGTGAAAAGTTTACGACAACGACGACGGACAAAGTTTGATCAGAATAGCTCACTTGAGCCTTCGGCTCAGGTGAGCTAAAAACTAGGGAAAGCAATTCAAAGCATATTCTGTAAACCAGTTATTCACATTTTTTTATTTACAGTTCTTTACTTTGGAATAAATTTTAAAGTTGATACAGTAACTAAGAATCCAAATCCCTACCTCCCTCCATTTTGGTTCGGACCAGCCCCTGGGCAGCACTGGTGAAAGTGGGCGTGTGTGTTCTGTCATCTATATTGCTCAGTACAGCATTGTTTGAGGCTTCATCTCTACAAAAAAAAAAATGCTACATTTGGTTATGTCCACTTAAAGGTGAAAATCTGTATGCCAAATTTCAATTCAGTATGTGCAACAACTGCAAAGAAAATGAACAGAAACTTGGTGACTCGACTGACAGCAGCAATATGCCCTTCCTTTGAAGGGGGGGGGGCATAAATGTAAATATAGGGAATGTTTTTAAGTTTAGTGTGAATTATTGGTGTGTAAATTAGACAGACTTGTGTGTAGGCATATTTTTTATGAAAAATGCCTGCTGTCTGTGTGATGTACACACTAATAATTCACACTAAACTTAATTACATCTCTTAAACATAAACATTTTTGTAAATATTTCCTTCTTCCAATGACACACATAAACAACTTATTTATAGTACTTTTTTGGATTGAATTTGAAAAATCACATATCAAACACCTCAGAGACTTATTTTATAATGTTATGTCCCACTAAAAAAATTACTTCACTAATGATACAGTTTAACTAATAATGCACTGAGATAACAAAAACCAAATGTGCAGCAATATATAATCCAATCAAGACCTAAGGCAAGTGCGTTTTACTTCACCAATACCAATTGCTTAAGAGTTTGGCAAAGTAGGAGTGACTGAGTGAATGTCTCAATAACCTCTGACCCAAACATTTAATGAAAAACCTGCTGCTGTCTAGCAAACAGTCCTCCTAAAAAAGGTATGATTGTGAATTTTTCAGCAGAGGTGAATGTAGTTGTCGACCAAACTTACCTTGGAGAGAATAAGGCTCCATCTCCACAAGGAGCAGTAGAAATATACAAATGAAATGTGATGTTTTTCTTCAAGCGGATTTTTCCAGTTGGTGACGGCTCAAAAAGTCGATGATTCTTGGCAGGATTATAGGTCATCAGCTGCTTGTATAAAAACCTGCAATTTTTTAAAAAAAAAATAACAACTTTATTTTTTGTCCCATACTGTGTATGCAAGATTTAGATTTATTTTAATGTAAAACTCAATACCTTATAAATCCTCTTCTTGTGATGATTTCTGCATGAGAATCATTGACTGTGTTTCCCTCAAGACTTAATTGTGGCCCTGTGATACACCTATTTCCTGTACAGAAAAAAAATGTTCAAAAAAACTTTGCACTAAACTGTTAATCTTTTTTTTTTAAGTGGAAGTCAAAATTAAGTAAACAAATTACAGTTTCCCTATTCAGCATTCTCCAGATGGGATTACACTTTTACAATAAATGAGGTAGGAGTTAAGTGATAAACTGCAGACCAAACTTACAAATCTTTTCATAATGGTGTTAAAATTGACATAATACATATTTTATACATACATTCATCAAGAAAAATTCCTTTACGCAATCTGATAAATGTATACCTGTCCCTATAGCGATGACTGTTCCAATGTCATCTGGAGCCATTTTCATCACGAGTCCTGCGATAACTTTCCTCCCTGAGAAATTTTCACTGATGCTGGCCGAAAGCTCATTAAAAGACCTGTGGACCAGTGCTGCCATTTTGTCAAAGTGGGTCATTTTGTCTATAGATACTTGAGGCTTTGATGCCTTAAAAAGAAACAAAATGTGAGCATTTTTAAAATAATAAGCAGAACTTTCTAAATTGAAAAGCTCTGAATTCTGGCAAAATATTCCTTTATCCACTAACCATCACTGATGACCTCTATAAAAATACTCTGACCCACATTTTTAAGATGGGAAAGTACATGTACTAAGAAGGTAAATTTTTGCTCAAATTATCTAACTTTATACTTACAGCAGCACTATTTGTGCCTTTGTAGTCACCAGAAGCAATAAGTGCCCTCAAAGCCTTGTCTGCTGCTTCCTTTCTGCCATCTTTCTTGTTGGAACAAGTCACTTCTGCAATCTGCTTACCACCAATGAACACACCCATAACAAACCTGACAACCAAGCAGAACATTAATTTTATACAACTACACTGTACTAGTATATCTAAAACATTAAAATAAAATCTCAAAAAAAATCTTTTTTCAGCAGGCAATGGAAAATTTTTCAAAATAATATTTAAAATGCCACTAAACGATCTACAGTGTATTTATATCTTACTTAGGTTTATGGGAAGGCCCACTTTGGGAAATGACTCGGATTTCTGCCTCCTGGTGACGTGACTGGGCATATTCCATCAGAGCACTGACAGGATTTTTGTTAAGAGCTGCAAAACTTTCTGAATTCAGATCCAGAGGACTTGGCTCAAAAGGATTTAACAATCTTGTACTTCCCATGGGAGGCAAGGACTGTGGCTGGGGGTCCATTCCACCGGGATACATACTGGGCCTCATGGGCAATCCAAGGGATCTAGGCCCACTTCCACTGTCTTGTAATCCTGAATCAACACGTGGTAAACAATTTGAAGAATTGGACATGCTTTGCTGTTGATAAAATGTCTGTGGTGGACTTGATGCTGACTGTCCTGCAAGTCTCTGCAGCCCTATACTGACATTACTGGTAGAAATCCCCATGTTTGCCTCTGCCTCACACCTGGGTGAAATACCTGTCTGATTTAACTGTTTTCTGATCACCTCCACTGGAGGAGGGGGGCGTGTGAAGCCGCCAGGTGAACCACTAGTGCTGGTACTCTGATAATTCATCAAACCTCTCCCCCTCCCTCTTCCAAATGTTGTAGGCGGACCCCTCTGCTGAAAATTAAAACTAGACTGTACAGTGTTTAAAGATGGGGGTAAACTTGAAAAAGGTGCCCTTGTATTTGTACCTCCAAATGGCTGGGAATTACTTTCTGTAAAGTTAATGGACATTAAAGGTTGAGGACCAGGACTATCTTGAATGTTCATGTTTTCTCTTTTATTACTGATGGTGTGGGTAATTGTTTGTTCATCACGATTTTGTAGCTTTGAAAGGTCAGTGTTACAAAATTCACTGTTAGGGTTGTTCACAAGAGTGGCTGGCACTGGTGGGGGACCTGTAAATTCCTTTTTCATGTTTCGAGGAGGAGCACATATCTGCTGTACTGTCATAAGTCCTTTTGTTTCCATTTTCCCTATTTTGCTCTTAATATAATTTTCACCTTTTTCTGTTAGCATGTAAATAGTCCCTGATGGAGAATTAGTTGTGGAAACATATTTTGATTTTAAACAGTTCTGTAGAATATCTTCAACCTCACCTTTTTCTAGGCCAGCTTTGCTAGCAATAACGAAATTCACCCCTGTACTATTGGGACACTTTAACAACCCTTTCAATACTTGGTCCATCTGCCCAGGTTCACTCATATCACTGTCACTTTGATAGTAAGGTGCTGTAGCACTGCTACCAGTGTCCTCTAACTGACTCCCTGAATTATCTTCAGGACTGGTCACCAGAGGAGTGGACTGAAGAGGAGCAAGATATGTTTCCATTTCATTCTCTGTGTCTTCGCCAACACTCGTTACATCACTCTCATCGTCGATGTAACCTTTGCTTCTTAAAGTCCTTTTGGCATCGTTTATTTGATCCAAATTCAGACTAGGTTCCGATTGCGAAGACTCGTACTCGATCTCAGATAACTGATTACTCGTAAGATTTCCCATGAACGGATCCTCGATACTCACATCAGCACTTGCACATTGACTAAAATTGCTGTTAAAAGTATTCGAAGCATTAAAAGACTGTTCAAATTGGCCTTCCACTTTTATACCTCCAGAGTCCTGTTGTGGTTCTACATATGCAAATTGTGGTGAATTCTGTAGCATCCCAACTCCCACTATTCCCGGGTCATCCAACAAGGCAGCTTGCTGCGTCCCTTCTGCAGGATTTAGGATCCATGTTACTGACCCCCTATCTCCAGACCTTTGCACTATTCCAGTTTTCTCCATGTGGTATAATGTGGGATTAATTTCTCTTGATGTTCTGAAGCCTAAATGTCTAGCTATGTCTATAGATTTGATAGGCATATTTTGGGTTTGGAGGAACTGTATAATTTTCTGTGCCTGCTGAGGATTGATCTGAAAGGTCTTTAATGAAAAGAAGATGTTTAATTTAATGAATATCAACATTATAGATAAATAATCAATAATAAAAATACATTTTGCATTCATACATGAATTTAAACTGTATTTCACACTGTGTGATTAAGAAATGTCATGCATTATATAATTCAGATGTTTTCAACTTATATTTTTTTTATTTTCTTTTAAACAAATGTAAGTATCAACATGATCAATACATATTGTGACATATATCTTTCACATCTATTTCTTTCTGCTAACAGGCTTAACATTATACATAACATCCCTGTCAAATTTTGGAAAATAACAAAATTTTTATTTCCAGAATTACTTAAACAAGCATCATTGGGTTTTTGGAAAAAAAATCTATAATCCTTCTTGAAATATTTTGAAAAAAAACTTTATTTCCTTAATAGCTTGGTGTATATACACTATTTTATTTTCATTTTTTTTCTCAATTTTCCCATTTCATATGCCATGCTTTTAGGTTCCTTACATAGTATGAATATATTCTTTTTTCAGAAAAGTGGACAGGCTTCTCCCTACATTCGGATATATTTACATTCAGTGTAATTTTCTTTATGAAATCCATTAGAAATCTATGATGTTCAAATCTCTATAACACATGCGAAACCTTGTCACCGCACGTTAGAATACAAAGTAGGAACTAAATATGCATTTTCAATACTTTAAAAACACCAAAATGTACATTGTTTGACACAATTTAATTATATATAAAAATTGCATTTAGTTGAGTGTAACATTGAAAATTTTAACCCCCAAAAAACCATTGTCAACCGAGGCGCAGCCGCAATTTTTCGGTTACACTCAACTACATGCAATATTTATTATATTACACTGAATGTTTTATACAAATACATATAACAGTGAACAGTGCGCGCAAAAATTCTGCGCAGTCGCTAATTTTTGGAATATCACCCGTCATCAAGCAATGTTGACTGTTGCTACGCAAGAGGAAGTGGTTTCATTATTCAGCGGATAATAGTGGTTTTTATCAAATGTTTCACGATGAATGATTCAAGTAATTTACATGAAAGCATAATACAGGTGACTCTTGATCTCTCGAAGTTCAAGAGAATACCGCAAGAAAAGTTTGAGAGATGCATTTTCAGAAATAAAAAGTAAAAAAATCCGGAATTTTCAGTTCCGATCATTGAAGTTCACAATTTAACCGAAAGTATATGAGTATATATAAGGCGACCAAATTTGATTTTTAGTTTTAGTGTAACATTAAAAATTTGCATTTCAAAAAAAAAAAAAATTCAGAATTTTTCAATCCACTCGTGTCAAACCTGTGTTTTATAAAAGCAAATCAGTCAGACACGTAAAAATACACATGTGCAGAATGGTAGAAGAATGTGAGCTGTCAACTTCGAATTTATCAAGAGTCTACGGATATAACCCTCCCCATCGCATGTCTCCCAATATTTTTTTTAAATTGCTGTCTCTACCGATTTCGAAAAAATCCAATTTTTTACCTACTTCGATTTGTAAAATACAGACATGTCAACACAAAAATGGAGGTCATGCAGTCTCATTGCAGTGTTTATCGTTAGCTAATCTGTTTATTGCCACTGATAACAGGTAATCATCAAGGTGTCAACTGTGCTAGCAGATGTAATTGCAGCTGTAAATTATGCTCCTTATTCTCATTAAAAGTGTATATTATCAAAGACAGAGATGCCAGATGTGGAACTTTTGCAAAAAAGGACGGTAAATAACGATATGGATTTTACTTGATACTTTGCTGCAAATAAGTTTATATCATTATGCACCTAAAACAAAACAATTCCTCCATAAATAATACGGTGATCAGGACAGACATGAACAATAGTACTTTATTATTAATTTAACGAGGAAATGAAAGCAAGTACATGGTAGCTAATAAAGAGTCTGTAGAGGGAACACCGCGGATAATGAGATTCAATGACTTTGCAAATCCTACATCAACATCAGCATATAAAAGCCCTTGAAACTGCAGAGCAACTTGACAGTACCTCTAGGATTTTTTGAATTTACGCAGCTAAACAGGGTAATAAAGTTTCTGAATTTTAAAATATAAAATTAGCATATTAGAACATGACTACAATAATGCTCTGATATCAAATGTACTAAGAGTAAAAGAAAGAATTCAGGATCTAAAATCCATGTATTTCATTCACACTAGATCGTGCATGTTATTTAAAAAAATGTATAAAATATTAAGTTTTGACTACTTTAATTCTTTCAATTTCAGATCTTTATTAAATCCAGGAAACAGTTCTCTTGCTCCTTTATAATGAGAAAAATCCTTTAATCCATCAGTTCAAAGCTTCACAAAAATGTCTGCAAATCTTATTAATTTGTTTAATTGCCAAATTATTAAAACTTTGATATTTGCTCTGAATATAATATCATATTCAAATGACACTCTTAATGAACGTGCAAACTATACAGAGAAGAACATAATTTTTTATAATTTCAAAAAATTGCATGGTACTCATATTAAACAATGTTTGAATAAAAAGTTGTAATTTTTATAAATAACTACATGTAATATGTATTAATATCATTAAAAAAATAATTTATCTTGTAAGTTGTTCTTTTATTTTGTTTTTTTATGCTACAGTGAAATGTGTGACTTTTTGTTTGTGCAAAAGGTCGTTGCTAGTTTCCTTCCCAAAAAAATGTTCGGCTATGTTGACAGGTATGATTTTGTCTTTTTTTTTTTTTTTTCCGACTTGACATTTCTTGAAAAAAAATCCGTAAAACTAAAAATCAAATTATGATCGCCTAAATAAAGTCATTGCACTTTTTCAATCGTATCTGACAGGTAATTTACTTGATATCAACAACGATTGTATTTCGAATAAATAAAACGAATTTCTAAAGGTTCAGTATTTATTTGTTCTTATTTCATAAGCAATTGTTGGTTTGGCTATTCCGCGGCTTGATCGGGTTTTGTGCAATATTTGCCATGCTGGAATTATGTAGACTTTAATCATAATAAAAATAGTATATCGGAACTTACTGAAACGAACATCTAGAAATTAAATTTCTAAAAATTATCGTCTCGGTTTCAATTCGAAATAAGTTGTGAATTTGTTTATAATATACCCTGTAATTAATAACCAATTAATTATATCAAAACACGGACGACCCACAGGTGTAGTGTCATCTATGTAAACACCCAATTAACACCTCCATGCCAGCCCAAGGCGTTCATTGTTTCCAGGTAAGTCCAGACTGCATCAATTTTACGCTTGATTGGCGTGTATACACTAGCAATCAAAATTTTGAGAGATAGAGAGTAAAAATCAATGAAATATGTGTAACGGGACCCAGATTTTGGTTCGAGAGATAGAGAACTTTGAGAGATAGAAGTTTGAGAGATCAGGAGTAAATTTGCTTAGTTATACAGAGGGAAAAAACAGGACCGGAGGTTAACTTCGAGAGATCGGAGTTCGAGCCATCGAGAGTCACCTGTATAAAAAATTAACCCTGTTAAATTAATGTGATAATACAACAAAAGTGCATTTAAGATTAAATTGTCACTTTTTTTCCTCGCAATGTTCGTTTGCGTTATTTAACTTTACGACGTCATCACAAACGGCTCTTACATCTATAAAGCAAACCAGTTTTGAAGGGGGCTAAATTCACATTAAAGATTACCGAAACAAACAATAATGAAGACGATAAATTAGAAAATATAAGTACTGAATTAATATTTTGGGATGTCTTCGGTCCTATAACACACCTGGCAGTGCCGACAAATTGAATACCGCGCTGACGCGCGGTATTCAATTTGTTGGCACGAGAAGACATCCAAAAATATGAATTCAATGCTTAAGTAGACAAAAGCCTGCCAAATTCTGTCTACATTATAAAGATGCCAATACTGTGTAGACTGAAACACTTTCTATTCTTTTCAAATTAAATCAATAATAATAATAACTGTACTAATATGAAAACCTTTTTTCGACCAGCATGATTATTAGGTGAGTTCTCTTATTTTAATTTGTAAATGACCTTACGTCATCAAGTTGTGTTTTCCATCACTTATCATTCAAATTTTGTTGACTCTTTTTATTCATACTCAGTTGTACTTACCCGGTAATATAAGAGTGTCGTTTCTACAATCATTCATGTTATTTTATGACCCTTTGATTTGCTGATTCTTATATACTTAGCCTATTTTTGAAAATGAAAGTAGGATTTTCCAAAAACAAGCGTGGACAAATTCATGGATTAAAAATACATCTTATAAATAAAATTAAAAATACCTCTCTGGTATGTTTCAGTTTCTTTGTAGGAGACGCTATACGGGCGGTGTATTTATTATTTTGGGGCCATATTGGAGCTCTAAGCGCCTGTGCATAGCTCCGGAGTTTCCAAACAGGAGGAATGCCCGACACCTGCTCTAAAAAATTATGACGCTTCAGTGCATAGAGTATTTGGTTAATGGATTTTCTGTCTGTTCCTACATGACGAACTATGTCTTTCAAGGTCCTTGTTTTGTCGTTAGATTGATTCAAATACTCGACAATTTTCTTTCGATTGGCCTCTCTTGCCGCCATTACCATTTCTTTTTATTTGGTGACATTCTTCTTTCGTTTTCGTTTTCGATGAAAAACGGGAAATACTAAAGACCTGACCTACTAAAGACCTGACTGACCTGACCAACATAAAATTCGTCAAAGATCACTATTTTAAGACCAATTATCATATTTTTAAGGATATTTACTTGATAATAATATAAAATTAAGTTAAATAAATACTAATATACACATTTTAACCATATTTATTGTTATTTATCTGTTCATTTCATGGAAATGTAATGACCTGACCAAATATGAATTGACCTGACCAAAACCAAAATCATCAATATTAGTTATATTTTTAAAATATTTGGATAAGTTTTAAAAGATTTTCTTCATTATAATGGTTAATACTTTGGATAAAATGGTTTTAGAAACATTTTTACCTCAAGTGGTTGTTTATATCATGGAATTTTAATGACCTGACCGGTAATATGAAATGACCTGACCAAATAAAAATCACTTGGAATCTTTATCTTTCTTTAATTATTTCATACTTTATGTTTATATCATAATCAATTGTATGATATTATATAATTAATTAAACACTTCAGACATGAAAACACACATTTATGAACTTTAATTTGAACTAGGACATAAAAAATTGCATTGACCTGACCAAGCAATCTGTCTGAATTTATATACATATGTGAATTTTCACAAACTACAATTTAAGAATTTAATACTAATACAATTTAACAATTATACTAAATCTTTTTTTTAAGCATTTGAAAAAATATTGGTGACATTACAACAATATATTGCAATGACCTGACTGCATGGGCATGTCCAATGCTTTAAAGACCTGACCGACTCTACCTACTAAAGACCTGACCAACCACGTGTCTATATGAATGACCTGACCGACCATTTCTACTAAACACCTGACCAACTATGTCTGTATACATATACTAAAGTCCTGACACTACAATTTTATTCAAATTATATCTATTTTTTTAAATTTTGCATTTATGAGTGCAATAATGGAAATCATTGAGTATATAAGATTCAGTATAATATAATTAAAGCAGCTATTTAATATTTAGATACATGCATGTATTTTATATACTAGACTTTACTAGTAAATATCATTTTTATCTTTTTTCACATCGTCCAATGTTTTAAAAATTTGGATTATTAAGATTAAATCTGTGTCATGTAAAGATATATACAACTGTAGTTGTAACCCTAATGCAGACAAACGAATTATAAACATTGATTACTAGTATTTAATTTAAACATGTTACATATTGTATTTAGGCTGTGATATCTGTGTATTTATGTTTTTTTAATTTATGAAAGAAACAAAAATACATATTATAATTTTTTTTTCTAAATTCAGATTAAAAATGATGAAATTAAAACTGTTAAATTTTACAACTTCTATGGTAAGTTACTGTGATAGAAGTGTCAAAAGGGGCACTGACCTATGTTGTTTGTTTAACCATTACCTCTCAATATCCCTTGTGTATACTGCTTGTATAATACTAGTAAACATTAAACTTCATTATACAGATTAAAATGGGGTTATTAAAATTCAATTATCTTTTGAAATATTTTTTTTTTATCAAACAAACAAAGCAAAATAAATAAAAATTGACCAAGTTTATAAAGAAGATGTAGATTTAAATTAGATAGAATGTTCTAGCTATCGTTAAAATGATATTGTGGTGAGGGCTTGTACCGAGACACAGTTAGATTATTCTAACTAGATTTAAACAAGTGTTCATTGTTGAAAATGTTAAATGTAATCATTTTATCCAAAGTATTAGCCATTATAATGAAGATAATTCTTTAAAACTTATCAAATATTTAAAGAATATAACTATTATTGATGATTTTGGTTTTGGTCAGGTCAATTCATATTTGGTCAGGTCATTTCATCTAAGGTCAGGTCATTAAAATTCCATGATATAAACAACCACTTGAGGTTAAAATGTTTCTAAAACCATTTTATCCAAAGTATTAACCATTTTAATGAAGAAATTTTTAAAAAACTTATCAAATATTTAAAAAATATAACTATTAATGATGATTTTGGTTTTGGTCAGGTCAATTCATATTTGGTCAGGTCATTTCATCTAAGGTCAGGTCATTAAAATTCCATGATATAAACTAACACTTGAGGTAAAAATGTTTCTAAAACCATTTTATCCAAAGTATTAACCATTATAAAGAAGAATTTTTTAAAAAAAATTATCAAATATTTAAAAAATATTACTATTATTGATGATTTTGGTTTTGGTCAGGTCAATTCATATTTGGTCAGGTCATTACATTTCCATGAAATGAACAGATAAATAACAATAAATATGATAAAAATGTGTATATAAATATTTATTTAACTTAATTTCATATTATTATCAATAAAATATCCTAAAAAATATGATAATTGGTCTTAAAATAGTGATTTTGTCGAATTTTATATTGGTCAGGTCAGTCAGGTCTTTAGTAGGTCAGGTCTTTAGTATCTCCCATGAAAAACATTAGAAACTGGTTCTCTTAATGACCAGTTTATTGACAAAACGCGCCAAATACAAATGTCTTCACCACACTTCGCCGATCTATGCACAGGCATCGGCAAGCGCTCGCTATGCTCGCGAAGCTCACTGGTAGGATTTATGCCTGTTTACCATTTATTTTCTATTTATTGACAAAATTGCCGACTCCTGTGATCTATGCCTATGGATTCTTTTCATTTAAAATGAAATCTTAGTTCGAAATATCTGACATTTTCCAGGCTCTTTAACGATTTCGATATTTCAAGTGCCAGGAAAATGTCAGACCCGGTGTCATTACGAAAACTGGAACCAAATTAAATTTATTTATTTCTTCAATTATATTATTGATCCATAGTAACAGTAGAGGGCGCAGATATTTCACAGATTTTTTTTCCACAGATTTCATTAAATAAGGACCATTTTATAGTCAACTCAATCGTATTTGTTCAATCGTACATGCAGGTGTTTTTAGATTCTAATGCCAAAAAAAAAAAAATAAATAAATAAATAAATAAATAAATAAATAAATAAATAAATAAATAAATAAAATAAAATAAAAGTAAAAAAAATAAAAAATGTAAAATTTGGAGCAGATGGATATTTCACCTGAAAAATTGATTAGAAACCAGGAAAACAGAAGCAAAGTTGTGGCAATATGGCAACTCTGGGCCTGTATACCACAGGTATTTGTGGACAGGACCATCCTTTTACCATGCGACCAACGTCTATGATTTTTTTTTAAAATAAGTATATTTTTGATATAGATTTATTTATTTTCTATTTCTTACTGTACTTCACTTACACATTCCCGATCAAAAAATCACATTGAAATCCGACACATTGCCTCTCTTTATTTAATACTTATAGGGTTAATAAATATTATTAGAATTTGCGTGACGGTGCCTCGGCTTTTAAGGTGATTTTTTAATTGTATTATCTGTCCCAATACGACGGCGTATTCGTGCCAAATTGACAATGTAGAAAAAAAAATTTTTAATCGTTTGGACGATTTATAAAATCGTTTGAACGATTTAAGAAAACGTTTGTACAATTTGTTAAATCGTTTGTACAATTTGTTTGTTAAATCGTTTGTACAATTTGTTAAATCGTTTGTACGATTTTTTAAAATAGTTTGTACGATTTAGGAAATTGTTTGTACGATTTTTAAAATCGTTTGAACAATTTAGGAAATCGTTTGTACGATTTTTAAAATCGTTTTGGATACTGCTAAACAGAGTACGATAGAGTTCTTTAGAGTAAGTTAGAAATATTGTGTAATTTAATACAATCAGATTATTTATTTATGTATATACAGCATCATTAAACATTATCATAAAATAATATTGCAATATTTGTCTCAACTAATTGTTTTTTGCCGATATTTTGACAAGAAAACAACATGAACAACATGTATGAATTTTGAATACCTATGAGATGCAATGTCTCCGTTTCAAATAAAACACAAACACATAACATTCAGGATTCAATGCATTAAAGATTAATAACACCCCGATCTCAATTACTATTTGCTTCAGACCAACTATTATTTCATCTAAATCTTAAGTATCAAAAATAAAATTAATTGCATTGCGTAAACTAAATATCTTTCACATTATCAATGAAATAGATTGGGATCGGGATCAAACAATAAACCATAACCTGAAATCAAAATTTAAATAACTCCTAATAAAAGGAAAATATACACATTTTATTTTTAAAATATATCAATTAAGTTAAACTTAAGTAGATAAACATGCAAAAGTAGTGTAATTGCATTAAATAAATATATAAATATATACATTGTATATGCGTACTCTAAAAGTACTCTATCGTACTAGCGTACTCTGTTTATTTATATATAGTATAACATTACTACAGTATTCATACAGTTTAATTAACACGATACAATTTAATATTATAAGTGTTTCTATATCTGTTATAGCCTAGTCAGCTGCGAAGGGACTTCTCTGCTTTACCAGTTTTCTTATAGATGTAATACGCTTGTGTTCGAAAAATCGTCCAAACGTAAAATCGTACTTTAAACAATTTCCTAAATTGCACAAACGATTTCCTGAACCGTTCAACGATTTCCTAAATCGTTCTAACGATTTTATAAATCGTACAAACAATTTCCTAAATCGTAAAAGCTATTTTAAAAAATCGTACAAGCGGTTTCCTAAATTGTTTGTACCATTTTACAAATTCGTAAAAACGATTTCCTAAATCATACAAACTATTTTTTAAAATCGTACAAACGATTTAACAAATTGTACAAAAGATTTAACAAATTGTTCAAACGATTTATTAAATCGTACAAACGATTTAACAAATTGTACAAACAATTTAACAAATTGTACAAACGTTTTCTTAAATCGTTCAAACGATTTAATTTTTTTTTCTACATTGTCAAAATGGCACGAATACGCCGTCGTAGTCCTATAATCTTTATAGATAATTCATATTTTTAGAATATAATAAATTGCAGTCTTAGTTTCATATGAAATTTTTATGTC